GTCTGCCTTCATTATACCCACCTGAGTGCATAACTAGAGCCATCACAGACCATGAGACTGCTATGGGGCCCATAACTGTACAGCTACACAGTGATCTATTAAAGAACAACTCTGGGATTTTATCAAACTAACCCTTGCAGTGAGGATAGCCACTGCAAACCCACAGCTCAAACCCCTCCCCACTCTACTAAAAATGTGTTTTTATTTTTGGCTGTGTCCCCATTGGAGATCTTACCAACCACTCCAATGGAAACCAGACCAAGGTTCAAACCCTTCCCTGCTGCATCCTAAACAAGAAGTCTGAGGAAATCAATCTAAATTGAGGCTGGAGTTGGGCTCCATTTTCTTTCTGACAGATTTGTGTCTTCTGTTTCCTATCTATATTCTTTCTGTGGAGTGCGCACTTGGTGCATGTTCTTAATATGTGCCAGGTCCATCTGAGGTCTGGTCCTGATTAGAGTCAAATGGCTCACCACTTACCGGTGCTCAGTGAGGGATCTGCTTTGCCTTGTGCCATTAGGTGCCGCCATTGTAGTTTTGTCCCTCGCGTATGCTCAGTTTAGTTGCACCTTACAAGTGTGCCCTTAACCCCTTCATGACTGAGGCCCTTTTTTCAATTTTTGCACCCATGTTATATTCCACATTTTAGGCCTGAAAATGACGTAAAACCCCCCAACATTATATATGTTCTGAATGCCAAGACCCTATAGAATAAAATGGTGGTAGTTGAAAATTTTTATGTTGCGCAATATTAGCGCAACTCCTTATTAAACCCCAAAATTTAGTGACAAATTTAATTAAATGCCCCAAAACACAACAAATTACCCATTTTTTAAATGAAAATAGTCTGTTTAAACAGATGTTTATGGGCCAAACACATCTCCCTGCCTGGCTCTAAGCAACCTGGGACACTCTGGCTGGAAAGGGGGCGGCAGGCATACTACAAACATTGTGCAATGCCGCTCTGCCTGTTCCCCACATGACACAAAGAAATGCCATGTGAGGCCTCAGGCTGCTTCATTATAGAGAGGATGTCCCGTGAATGGACTGCATGGCGCACCGTACAGTGTACACAGAAAATAAAAAAAGGCGCTCCAAAAAAGCTCATACTCCCAATACATTTCAGTGCGTCGCTAGAGTGTTCGGGTTTCGCTGGAAGAAAAGGTGGCAACCCTACTAGTGCCTGAGACACACAGGCTCCCTGAGAAGTAAGTATATCACCGCTGGAAGAAAAGGTGGCATTCCTACTTGTGCCGTAGACACACGGGCTCCCTGAGAAGTAAGTATATCACCGCTGGAAGAAAAGGTGGCATTCCTACTAGTGCCGGAGACGCACTGGCTCCCTGAGAAGTAAGTATATCACCGCTGGAAGAAAAGGTGGCATTCCTACTTGTGCCGTAGACACACGGGCTCCCTGAGAAGTAAGTATATCACCGCTGGAAGAAAAGGTGGCATTCCTACTAGTGCCGGAGACGCACTGGCTCCCTGAGAAGTAAGTATATCACCGCTGGAAGAAAAGGTGGCATTCCTACTTGTGCCGGAGACACACGGGCTCCCTGAGAAGTAAGTATATCACCGCTGGAAGAAAAGGTGGCAACTGTACTAGTGCCGGAGACACACGGGATCCCTGAGAAGTAAGTATATCACCGCTGGAAGAAAAGGTGGCAACTGTACTAGTGCCGGAGACACACGGGATCCCTGAGAAGTAAGTATATCACCGCTGGAAGAAAAGGTGGCAACTGTACTAGTGCCGGAGACACACGGGATCCCTGAGAAGTAAGTATATCACCGCTGGAAGAAAAGGTGGCAAAAAGGGTCAATGCAAGCATTTGCGCGATATCGCTTAAAATGCAAATTGCGCGACAAACGCGCAATTTGCGAACCGCTCAATGTGAACGGGGCCTTACCTGGCTGCACGAGCTCTCCGCTCCGATGCAAACAGGTGGGCGGGCGTGTGTGTGGGCGTGCGGGGAGGGAGCTGCGGCCGCTCTTAACATGTAAAAATCAATTACATGTGCAGCTACCCCGGAAGTAAGACCTAGCGCTATCTTCAGGGATTTCTGTAATATAAGACCTACCACCGAACTAGGTCTTATTTTCCGGGTCGGTCTTATATTACAGAAA